CCGAAGTAGTCTACGCCAGTGTTCATGAATGGAGGCTCACTAAATGCAAGTCACTCTTTGGACAAGGATACCATCACAGGTATTTCTGGTTTCTCCCTTCTCCTTTTGCAGTGCAGGCAGTCATTAACGATCTTTCTAATGAATGATTTCCCTCGTGGAATCCAGAACTGCTGACGCACAAGAGTCAATGTCTGTTCCCTTTCTACGTGGAAGTGTTTCTTTTGAAGGTCTTGAACCAGCAACCTACACAAAGGATGTTTTGGTGAAAGGACTACTTGGTGCCTTGCCTCAAAGGGTATCGGAGCTTTTTTCACTCGACAATGCCCAACTTGCTTGAAGATCCTTATACTCTTGCTTGAACAATTCAATCTGAGCTATCTTACACCAGGCGAATAAGGCTTCTTCAAGATCATCAGCAATCAAATTCTTGGTCTGCCGCTCTGGAGGTGGACTCACTATCTTTACCTTGCACCTTAGGTTTAACTTGTTCCTGATCCACCACGTGTAGAGCCCAATTAGCCTTTTCCAAGTGGAGTTCCTCTCCCATTCTATTACAATCATAGAAGGGACGATGAACATTGTTAGGACAGAGGCCCTGACTTTTAATTCACTCTCACTCACTTGGAGGTCTTCTTTGGAACTCGACCATTCCTCAGGTAGCATCAAAAATTGGGGACTGCTGATCCACCGCTTTCTGGAGTTAATTCGTGAATCTCCTTCGCTCTCGTACTATCGTCAACTACATTCGTTGTGCCGGGAATGTGACCCCACTCCCTAACGTCTGATTTGGAGGCGATTTCAGCAACTCTGTGTGATATGTACACGTTGAATCTCCTCTGGGTGTTGCTAAGGTAGTGCAACACAATCTTGGAGTCAGTCTAGAAATGCGTTTTGTCAACTTTAAAGTCGATTTCTTCTAATATCTTGGTCTTCAGCCTAGCAGCCACAACCACAGCTTGCAGCTCCAAACGTGGTATGGTCAATGTCTTGATTGGTGCCAATCTTGTCTTGCTTATAACAAAGCTCACGCTAACAGGTCCACATGTCACTGTATGGAAGTAGGCAACTGCCCCATAAGCGATTTCAGAGGCATCACAAAACAAATATAACTACCGTATTTACCCGTGTATAATGCGCACCCTATTTTTGAGGACACTTGAGGACACACTCTAGAAAAAATTGTAATTCCTATTGATATTTAAAGCCACAAACAGAAACATTTTCAGCGCATTATAACAGTTTATTACAAGTACCCGTAAACTTTACTTTCTCGATCAAAATTTTCATCCATCCATCCCTTCTGCTGCACGGCAACAACAACTTCATGTTTTTTTGCAATTTTCGGCATGGTTTTGTGTTTAAAAATAACCAGCGGTTTCAGCTTGGAACCGTCTCCTGCACATGTCAAGACAACCGTCGGGCGATTCTTTTCGTTTCCAGTTGTCCGAATCTTCACAGTTTTGTCGCCAGTTTTACTGACAGTTCGATCTGAGGGCATGTCAAATTGAATCGGACTTTCGTCCATGTTTGCCACAAGATGAAGTGGGTAGCTGTGGGCTCTTCGCTGCTTGATAATGAACCACTGAAACGGCACGATTTTCTCTTCATAGTCGGGGGGAAGATGCTGGGCCAACGTTTTCTGCCTCAAAGACAAGCCGTTTCTCTTCATAAACCGTTGACACCAGTGGTTGGAAGCCTTAAACTGACCAGCAGGAATCTCGTACTTTGGATCTTTGGAAATTTCAATTGCCTTGAGCCTAACCATGGCCGGTAGTATTGCTAGTCCATTGTTTCGTTTCTCCGTAATCCATTGTCTTTAAATACCGATTGTTGTTTATTGATTGTAATTAAACAGCTGTGGTAGGTAGTTTATATTCTTGTCATAACAACAGTCCTGGAAACAGCCATCTGCTATTGTTTCTTTTGCTTATGAAAATGAGTAGCACTTGGGTAACAAAAGGTTCCGTGTATAATGCGCAGCGCAATTTTTCAGCCTCAAATGTCGTAAAAAAAAGTGCGTATATACTCGGGTAGGTACGGTACACCCTTTGGCACTCGTGATAATGCAAGCCGTACCATCGGGGAACTGCAATGGACTGCAAAGTCTTCAATTCTTCCTTCCAAACTTGCCACCACTGGAGGATGTCAACACTTCATCCCACTCGATCTGACTCCTCCAAAGTTCTTGAATAATCAGTTTTGCCGTAATCACGAATGGGGCAGCAAGCCCAAGAGGATCAAACTCACTGCTTGTCGCTTAGTGTTGGGAAATTCACTCTTCGTTGGCTTCAGACTCAAGAGATCCTCTTCTGCACACCATTTCACTCCTAGTACTCTTTCCTGAAGTAATTCATTACAATCAAGTTCAACTGTGTCACAAGCTACTTCTGAAGCAGGGATTGCTGCTAGAACTTCTCGGCTGTTCGACATCCACTTCGTGAGTGAAAATCCTCCGGTTGCCAGGATTTCTATCAGCTGTTTGACATGAACTATGGCTTCATCTGAGTCAGACTTCGACGACAGAAGGTCATCCATGAAAATGTCAATTTAGTTCCAAACATTGAGCCATGGCCTCGAGGATGAGAAAAGTCACTAAAAGATTTGAACTTAGTGCATCTGTAACACGATAACGTATAAAACGTCATTTATTCAAGGTGTAAGCGAAGTCGTATATGCATGTGCTTGCTTAGAAAAAGTCAGCTTAGTATACATTATGGCCTGTTAAAAGACCGACCTGAGTACGTTATCAATACCTCGTATTTCAAATTGTTGTGAAATGTTTGATTTGTCCCTCCTTACGAGTTATTAGGAAACTTAAGCATGGGTCGTTTTAGAGGCAACGGCAACTTTAGTGACCAAAAGAGCCTGGGAAGAAAACGTCGTTCCCGCCAAAATATAAACGTTAAGCAGCAGACGAACTTTGCAGCAGTGACGTCGGTAGCAAACTCTGTTCACTGTTGAAATAAGCTGTGTGAGAGCATGTCATCCTTCAGTGATGAGAAAGTTGCTTCTTTTTTTGTATGACAGTGAAAGCATCAGTGACGAAGAATTTTTGACTTTCTACGTAAGTTACAGTTCCAAGAATCCAGACTTCCCTTATAGTGCGTACTCAAAGTTTGATTACGACCAGATAGATAAATCAGAATGTTTAGCGGAGTTCAGAGTGCGTAAACAGGACATAACATTGTTGGCAGATATTTTTCAATTACCAGTCACTATCCGCTGTCACCAAAGAAAAACTTGTGACCAAACTGATCAAAAAAGCACTTTGTATGCTGCTGAAGCGCTTCTTGTATTTATGTTGCTATTCAGACACGATTCATTGTTTTGCAAAACCAGTTCCTGAAATGAGTGATTACCAATACAGTGATGTTATTTTTGAGCCATGGTCATCGAATCTCACAATGGAATTTCGATATACTGAGTATGCAGATGTTATCCATGCAAAAGGTGCAGCTCTCAACAATTGCTTTGGGTTCATTGATGGAACAGTCAGACCAATATCTTGCCCTGGCCAACACCAAAGAATAGTATACAATGGCCATAAACGGGTAGATTCACTCAAGTTTCAGTCCGTCGCTCTACCCAATGGGCTTATTGGAAATATATATGGGCCTGTTGGTAAGTTATGTTCACTAGGATGCCATAAATCACATAAGCTGTCACATAAGATTTCTTTATTTTTCTAATCTTATCTATTCGTTTTGGTATGCAGAGGGGAAAAAACACGGTGCAAGCATGTTGATAGATTCCAAGGTTCTCCAGGAATTGGAAAGGAATGCATTTTCCCCAACAGGCCAGCCCATGAGTATTTATGGTGATCCTGCCTATCCCCTGCGAATACACCTACAGGCACCATTTCGCTATGGGGTCCTAACACCAATGATGGAACAATACAATTTTGACATGAGTTCTGTTAGAGTAACTGTTAAGGGGCTCTTTGGGGATATCATCAACGACTTCAAGTTTTTGGATTTTAAGAAAAACCTTAAAATTGGAATGAGTAGTGTAGGAAAAATGTATCTTGTGTGTGCGCTTCTTAATAGTGCTATTACCAGATATTAAGGACACCTGGGCCCCAGTGTCCCACAGTACATCTACCTTTTGGCCATTGATCTCCCCCTTAACAGTACACCTCTTTCCTACCAATCCTACTACTGTGGCGTGCTGCTGTGGTGTTAGGTGACTGACAAAGGTGCTACTACTGGGATCCGCATTCTCTTGTTTTGCTTTGTTTGACAGGTACAAAACTAAACTCAGTTCATTCTATTAGCTTTCTATCTACACTATCCTTCCAGCTTCCCATGTAATCTGCCTTATTTCTCCTGGGAATCTTCGTTTTTTTCCCAAATGTTATTAATACTAGTCAGTATTCAGTATTCAGTATTCACCTTATTTTAATGTATTGTACGATAATAATTAATTTTACTTAGTATTATAATTGTATTGTAGTGTAATTGTAATTATTCACTTTGTATTTAGTATTCAGCTTATTTTAGTGTATTGTACGATAATAATTAATTATACTTAGTATTTTAATTGTATTGTTATTGCAATTATTCTACTTAGTGTCAAGCCACTGCTCGCCTCGAATACCTATAGCTAACTGCGAGCAGTGGTACATCATATTTTGTATTTTCTCAATTTTTCTTAATAAACTTGAACTTGGTACTCAATTGCATTACACAACACTTTGTGTTCCTGCCAGTGTTTCTTCTGACATTTCCGGCTACAATACTTCACTGCCTTGCACTTTGAACATTGTAAGAACTTTGCCTTTTCTGACTGAACTTTCTGACAACCATTACATCGGGGGGACTTGTTACTACTGTTGTCGACTGTTCTGCGTCCCGCCGGAATAGTTGTCGACCGTTTCCTTGTCGACTACCCCGGTTCTCGTTACGGTAACCTTCCCGAGCCACATGCCCCGAGTCACCACAAGCAAAGCAATGATTACATTAATCTCCTCTTCCCCTCTGCTTGCAATTCTGACAACCCCAACTTGTACGGGTTGGCTGATAACCACGCCCACGGCCCCTGTAGGATGGCCCACGCCAGTTAGAATTTTCTTCTTGGCTCCCTCGACGATTGACTTGATCCTTGAGATCATTTATCTCTGACTTCATGTGACGGATCTCTAGCAAAAGCTGCTGACCTCCATCTTTAGTTGCATTCTTAGCTCTTGCTTCTCTCTCGTCTTTGCCTACCTCACATGTATGAACTTTGGAAGACTTTTGGCATTCACTAGCCAGCTTGGAACTCCTTTCTGCTTGTTGCGAGGCTAGTTCATTCACCTGCCGCATGAGCTCTTCATCGGTGAGTCCCGAGGTGCGTAAGGTGGGTCTTAAGTTAGATGCAAGGATGTCATCACGAAGACCAGTTTCAAATGATTTTACAAAGGTTTTCTGAATCAGGGATGCACCGTGATTGAACTCGCAAAATTCACCTTGTTATGCAAATCCAGCGCACGGAGAATGAACTGTTGTAGGGATTCACCACCACTGTGTTGGCACACGGTGGCCAATTGCTGATATACTTCTGAGGCTGTTTTCTCTCTATAATGGACTCGAAGGATCCTTCGTAGCTTAGCTAGTGAGAGGTCACTTAGAGTCTCAACATAGCTCCGAAGACTGTGTGGAGAGATGGCACGAATCACTACATCCACAATTTCATTTTCTTGGTAATCACGTTTTAGCCCTTAGTCTATTTGGTGCATTAAGGAAACAAAGGTTAGTTTCTCTGTTTGCCCTGGTTCGCCGATTTGACCAGAAATCTTAAATTCGCGACGTAGCAAAGATGAACTTGACTTTGTTTTCGCTAACTGACTCAATATATCTTCCATTCCCTTTTCTTGTTTAGGTCCTCCGTCAGAAGATTGTTTCTCCGTTTTTACTCCTGAAGCTGCTGGTTTTTGCTCTACCTCTTCGAGAGGCAGTACATTGCCAGTCACAAAAGCAAGTAGCTGTTCGAGGCACGCTCGTGCTTCCTTTTCATCGCCCGCCATTTTGCTGTCGATGGTTTTCGTAATAATTTTGATTCTCTGCATCTTACTTTTACCCACAAGGTCATCGTTGATTCCCAATAGTCCTATCATTTCAGCCAAACCCTTCTCATCTTGCTCGAACAATCGAGACTCTACTTGGAGTTGTAATTGTTCCATAATTAATGCTAACCGCGAAAGCTTATTTCCAAACTGAACACAAGTAACCTAGCGCAAACGCTGTAATTCCAGTGACAGTGAGCCAACAGAACAAATCAACTCGTCCACTTCGCCAAACACAAAACAACTAGCGAATGTACTCCACCGTCACAGAGCCCCAATATTGTAAAGTCGTACCGTACGCATCTGACTGTTTTTGGTCGCCGCTTGTCTCCTCAACTGCAAATCCAGGTGTTCATACCACTCCACTCACAATCTCCTTAGCTCCAATTCTGACCATTTCTGCTTCCCTTGACAACAAATAACGTCCCACGGACGAATCGAAGTTCATCCTGGCAGGGTCGCCAAAATGTTACCCTTGTTTCATACGTCCACAAATAAACCGTAAAACTTCTTTACACTTCACATGCTTCACACGTTTATTCCGTCACTCGTTTAGCTCGCGCTCTCTTTTGATAACCCGGATGAATACGTCATACAGAAGACTCGTTTCCGCTTCCGGTTGTTTTGTTTTTAGTACAATCTCTACATGTAACATAAGCACCTACTGGAAACTGGTAATGCTCTTTTGCTTCACAGGTTCACTTGAGACGATTTAACATGCCAACATGTTTCCACAATGTTCCACATCGCGAGCAGCTGTAGGACTTGGCATACTTCTTAATATCTTTGATACAGGAAAAGTAATTCTGGTACAGGTTGAGGTAAAGAGTACTTAGGTAGTGGCAAAGGGAGCTGTGAACCAATTGTGCAGCAATGTCTGGTACTGTATTTTCTTCTTCAGTATTGTCTTCATCTCTCTCCTCTCCATCGGCTGGGTTCAAGGGAATAGACGGAAATGTTCACCCCATAGAGGTGTTTCAGATCAGGCAGTTCTTTCAGCTTCACACCGAAAAACTTCTTTTTCTCAGGGGAAAATTCTCTATATCACTCGTAGTAATGCTGTGCATTCCTCTCTAGATTCTTTGGGTGACAACTGTTGTGGAGTGCCAAAGCCCGAAAAAAGCACAAATTGTCACTGTAGACTTCCATTATGGCGTTTGCAATCGAAGGCAACCAAACCATGGTTCTCAGCCAGATAGGAAGGCAAGTAAGTACCTCTCCCTATAGGATGACCTCGTAGCTTGGTGACAAAGAAAGTGATATTGGTCACCTGTTCTACGACCCATTTGGAGTTGGGGCGTCACTGGCGTACCCATTCCAGCACGTCAAGGTTTAACAGTGCTTCACGAACTTGCTGAAGGTCAGCTGCGGTGGTAATTTGAAAGGGTTCTTCAAAGACTTGTTCATTATTTCTGGAGGCATAATAATATTGAAGTGCTCCAGTCTCGTTGTTGCGTAGGATAAAACTAAGACACATTCAGCTTAAACACCATGGACTGGTCAATAAAAATGTTATTCAAATGAGTGATAAGTTCTTGAGGTTGGAGAGAGGACAGGCGGAAATTGTACCAGTCCAAAATACGATTTTTGCAGCTAAAACGAGTGCGTATTTGATGCCAGTGGTTGCGGTATTCGGGAAGGACACTTCGTTGTGCTTCAAGGAGATCGGTGATAGATCTTGGCTCTTCCTGCCAACTAGAACTTGGAGTTGACTGCTTTTTTTCGATAGGGGTTGACTTTGTTTTCTTGGATTTTCGCTGTGAAAGAAAATAAAGGATGTGTAAATAGAATATCTCTAATGTGTTCAAAATACAATTTCGCTGTATTTCATTTATCGTGAGCTTACCACCACCAAAAATTACGGAAAATTCAACTCCGATTACAAAACAAAATGGTGACACTCACATGGAATATATGAAAAATCAGACATAATTGTTATTAGCAATTTTTTCAAGTTACCACAGACATTTGCCAAGGTCGCTTTTTTTTATGCGAGAAACATGGGCTGCTAATTTATAATTAAATTATTATTATTATTATTTTTAGAAAACCCCTCTGATTTAACCCTTGGTCTAAATCGTATCACAGTAGACATTCTCCACAAGGAAAATTTCATGGAGATAAAAAGCAGAGAAACCTTTTTGTTTTTTTTTTCAACAAAAACAAATTTCAAAAACGAAGTGGCTGTTTCCACTACAAAATACCAGAAATCTGCTTTCTTCAGTCTGCAATATATCTACAATGACTTGTCTAAATCTACTGAAATACTATCAGTTTGTAGCTTCTGTTTTTATAGGTTAGTTTGCGATTCAAAAATACATTTGCAATCAGCGGCTTTTATTTACCGGAAATACGTTGTGTTTGAAACCTCCATTTGTCACCCTGAAATTATTTTGTGACCCCGAACCTTACCGCGCTATATACTAGTAAAGGGGAACAATGTCGATGTAAGCCACACGATAAGTCCACTTTCAAGTATCCCTGATATTGGACCTAACAGTTTTAAGGACAAAAGAAGTGTTTAACAATGTGTGACCTCTATTATAATCAGTAAGGTATTGCTGTAAACAGACCAATAGAGCACTTTTTCAACATATCCTACTTTCTATCAAGCGTGGCGAAGGAAATTTACATAGCACTTATCATTTACACAAAATGTTATTTTGTTATCGCAAAAGAGTCAGCATGGTGTCATAATCACTCTCAATAACCACACAACGACAGGTTTGGGCCACAAGTTTATTGAGTCAGATTCGACAGCTGTACTATGCACTGGTAGCGAAAGAGGTCGTAACTGAATCAATAGACTCCCGTGGGCGGGAGGGTTGGGTTAGCGTGCTTGCCCTTTGACAACGAGCTTATGACTGACGGACAGACGCAGCTGTGAGATTATTGGATAAGCTGAACGATGTCACATGATCAATTTGTAATTAGCAAGAATCACTAACGTAATTATTGCACAATCACGCCCTCTCAATAACCACACAACGACAGGTTTGGGCCACAAGTTTATTGAGTCAGATTCTACAGCTGTACTATGCACTGGTAGCGAAAGAGGTCGTAACTGAATCAATAGACTCCCGCCAAAAAGGAAAAAGGCCCAAACCGAAGTTATGCAAACTAAAGAAAGGGCGTGAATTGTGGGAGATGTTGTGAAATTGTAAGCTACTTATTGTATAGGAAAAAAAAAAAGCAATAGTACATCAACGACTAGACAACTGAAGAATATGAGAAGCCATCAAATTGACGGCACGTCGCTTTTGAGTGGATGACATGTCAAGATATATAAGATAGGCATCACTTTGCCAATCCCCCTGCCGCTGGATAAGTTCGGCGGGAACATTACACCTGAACGCAAAAGTAGCGCCGCCGCGCCTAAAGCTATGGGGGGGAATAGTTAGCCGGAACTAAACCAAGGGCGCTAATGACCTTGAAAATAAAAAAGCAGAAATGGCGAGAGGTAAGTGGAGATAACTGCTGAGAGGGGTAACAAACAACAGAGAACAATGGGGCGGTGGACGGCGCGGGGTTCAGACGCAAATGATGTCTTAAAGCAGTGACTGGGCATAGCGGGGAACCAGGAATGAGAGGCAAGGGGATTGACAAAGAACGTTGTTGATACTGAATAGTCTTAGAGGCCGCGATATGAACCATGGCGCCGCGCGAGTCAAAAAAGAGATCGGCTCGCAACAGAACTTTGGAAGAAATGCGATTGGCTACATCGGGAACTAAATTAGATTTTCGCAAAAAGGTGAAAAAGGCAACTAGAAACAGAGCCCACATGGCTGCATGTAAAGGCTTGTCTAATTGGAATAATGGAAACACCTGAAGCAGAATTTCAGGGGTGAACGGATGCTTGCGGTTGGCAGACACGCCGAGATAGTGTTTGGCGCCTCGTAAAACTAACTGGAAACGATAATGCATGTCCCAAACCTTGCCAAAACCCAAAAGCTGATTAACGTGCTTAAGACTACTTAAATGATTAGAAATAGTGCCGAAGGATCTCCCAGAGAGAGTGAGATGAGCAACATAGCGTATCAGCAATTGAATTTCGATAGGGAACGGAGAACAAGCTACCGAACAACAAAACCTAGTATACACGTTAAGATGAGACTGAATGTTCCGATGAGTAGAATCGGCAAAGGCGAGATGAAGGAGACGCTGAGCAAAGGCATCTAAAGTTGGTATACTGATGGCAGACCCTGAAAACGAGCGAAAAAAAAATATAAATGACTAACTGAAAATGCATGCTAAAAGGTCAATCAACATCAAAAAAGATGAAGTCTCCGGGTATCTGGTCGAAAACGTAACTGATCCCGAGTTCTTGAGAAGTTTTAGCAAAGTGAACTTGATACCCAGGGTCATCCCAGCGGCTCAATGCGTCTGCTAACAAATTGGGCTCACCAGGAATGTGTCGCGCGCGAATGTCAAATTTGTGTAGAGCGGAGAGGAACCACAACTCTCTCAAACAATGCTGCATGAATGGATGTCTTGTGGAGCCTGAATTGATGACGGTGACGGCGGCTTCATTATCACATGAGATGATAAGCCGTTGATGTTGCAAGACGGGAGCCCAGAACTTGACAGCAACGATGATAGTAAAGAGTTCCAATGCTGAGATGTGAGTAGCCAGCGAGATAACAGGATCCAGGAAAGCGAACGTGATGCATTTGTCAAGGCAAGTCGCTCCCCCCGGACCATGCAGGCATCAGTGCTAAAACGCAAATTGGCGAAAGACCACTTGTCAGGCTTTATAACCGAAACACCGTTTAAGAGGGGAAGGAAAGTGTTCCACCACAACAAATCTTGCCGCATTGCGAGAGTTATGGGTTGATGTTTTGTGTGTGAAGGGAAACTCCCCAAGCCGTTGAGCAAGCGTGACAAGAAAATTCGACTCACGTGAACACAAGCAGTCACAAAGGAGAGTTTACCGAGCAGAGACTGCAACTCTTTGATCGTAAAACGCTCGCGTGACAGCCACAATTGTAATTCATCAGATAAGTCACGAAGCCGTGAATCAGGAACTCGTAAGGTTAAGTCTTCGGTATTAA